AGATGTGTTAAGATTTATTATCTGTAAAATCGTTTGAGACTGAAACAGAAACGGGGACATTTAAGCTTTTCCTCCCTTTATTTATTTTTTCTGAAGTTAAGCACTTTATTTGATTATTATTATTTATTATTACATGCACCATTTCCATTTAGCATTTATTTTATTTTAAAAATGCAGCCCTACTTTTATTTAGTTCATGAGAGAGCATTATACATATCTGCAGTCACACATAAGTCCAGTTCTATGTTACATGATAATAAATATTGTTAAAAAGTGTTTTAATCGTACCGAATTCCTTTGATTTGAAAGGTATTGATTATATGCAGATGTTTATACAACTACCAGGCTACTTAAATATATATCACACTAAATAGTTAGACATTATGATCTTCTGGACCTTTGCTTCTAGATAATTTCTCTAACTGGACCTCTTAACATTTTAGTTGAATACCCCTGTTTTATTGCATCAATCTATCTATCGATCTATTTTATTGCATTAATCTGCATTAATCACATAGATGAATGAATTAATGGTGAATTAGTTTAGTTTAAAGTATTTGTGTATTGACCAAAGCATTTGGAAGAAATATAGATCATAGACCTGACGTTGGTTTAAGAGAAAAACATCGGGGGATTATAAAATGTACCATATTTTAATACCTGTACCAATAGATGGTACAGCTGAGATTTATTTAAAACACAACCCCATCAGTCAAGCAGATGGCACCAGAGGAGAAGTCCGGGATGAGCCAATGCTAAACAAGAATGTGGTTTACATTACAGTGTTCAATCCAACAGCTGTTTTACAGCTGGATTGAATGCCATCCGTTTCTGTGTCAGGCCGGCTTACGTTGAGATGACATGAATGCGCGTAGGTGAGTATCCATCTCCACGTGGTATTAAGTTCAAATTTCTGGCCACTCTGTACGTTCATAAGGGAGAAGAAAGCAATCTTTCAATCGAGTACTGTCATTATTTTGAGTTTGTCAAAGATGTAAACATTGCGTTTGTTGAAGCTGACATGACAGCTCAGCCAGGCCAGAGAGATTCTGTGTTGATTCTGCACAAAAGGTGTTAATTGAGTTGGCCTCATCACAAACAAGAAACTGAGAGGCTGTATAATTAACACACCGTAAAGCCCTGCATATCACACGGCCACCACACAGCCCATAATGACGAGAATGCACAATGACATACAATAACATACAGCCTCTGACATATTTCCTATGTCGTTCTAGATCAAATTTAAAAAAAAGAAAAATCCTGCAGTCTTGTTTTTGAGAGCCTCTCTCGCAAAATGGGGAGGTGGGGCGCGTCGGTCTTGGCGGGCCAGGCCCAGCGATCCCATCAGTATTCCTAGGACACAAGAGAGGCCGAGCCTGATAACAGCCACAACAGAGGGAGAGGGTCTTCTTGGCAAAGCCGAACTATGGTATTCTTTAATCACGGAAGTGGGCCTGTTCAGGTTTGAGTCGAGACATGATAATGTCTAATGGCTAATGGATGGCAAGGACACATTTCAGTATGTGTCTCTGTCTCCATTAAGGGATTGACACAAGACATATATGTTCTCACTCGCAATTATACATATAATATATATTATATAAATATTTGGGAGTCAGGGACCTTAATGAAGGGAAAAGGCAAGTAAACACCAAACTTTCTAGTCTTTTTTTTTTTAGGTAAAATTAAATCTGACAAGGCCTTTGGATTTTAACCTCTCATTTTCGAGGTACTTCATTCCTTTGTTCAGCCTTTTCAATTTTCACCTCTCACTTCCACCTTTCACTTTTCTTGTCCCTTTTGTCCACTTGACGTCACTGCCACTTTCGGCACTATATTTGCTATTCTATTAAACTGAGGCTACTCTTCGGCTCCTGCTCTTTGGGTATTTGTATAATGGATTCTTTGGAATGTTAGAGAAGTCCGTCATGGCTTATTTCTGACATTTACAGTGTCTCCTTCGGCAAACAGCTCAGTCCCAAATGCTCCATTAATCAAAAATAAATGCATTAATATCTAAATCAGCTTCTTAGTTTATATTCAAAGGCTGTAGCTGGAAATACAAAGACTGAAATACCTGAAAAACACTGACAGTCATCCCGAAAAGCCCTACATTGTATTCTACTCTTGGCGGGAGGATTTCAGCGAACCGGGCTGACACACTGGCTCAGTGGGCTTTATTCTTTTTTGGGAGAGAGGGAAGGGGGTGTAAAGAAACGCGCATGCACACACACCCTGAGGTCACTCCTCCGTACGTCCATGAGTTCAAAGCAAACACTGCTCAGCTCTGTTGTTCATAATTTAGGAGTATTTAATTGGGGGTATGGTGGCAGCGCTCACTGCAGATTGCGGTTGTGTAAGCATGGGTGTGTGTGTGTGTGTGTGTGTGCGCCGCAGCATTTCACACGATCAGGGCCGTGATAATGGATTCATGCCTCCCAATGACAAATGGCTCCCACCAGGAGGCGGTTTAACATTTACATGAGGAGCAGGAGAAAAAACATTGAACCAGAACCCACAGCAGAGGATACGCCGGCGAGTGAGCCGCTGCTTGTACCCAGACAAAAAAAAAAAACAGGCCGAACACACAACTTCAAATCACCCACACGCACAAACACACAGGCCTGACGACACGGAATACGGGAAAAAAAACTGACGTGAAGGAGAAAGGGGGTGAGACGCTGGAACAGCTGGCGTCCCGGCGGGGAATCATGGAGCAGAAGAGAGTTTGTTGGCACCGCAAAACCAGCAGCTACTGATGAGAGTTTATACAAACAGCCTGTCAAGCCCTCTGCTCTGGTTCGAACAGTATCTCCTCAAACAATACCGCGGCGCTCTGCAAGCGTGCCAGGTTCCTGCCACGCCAGACGGAAATTGATTGTGGCTTTTAGGAACCAGACACTCCAAAAAAACGCAAATGCAGCAATGAAGGTGAAGATGAAGATGCACCGGCGCATGCAAACAAACAAACAAACAAACAAACATGCAAATGCATCAGGGCGGCACACACGTGTGACAGTCACACATTTATCCAAGTTCACAACTTCTCACGCCTGGGAGAGACAAACGGTCCTTCCTGCCTCCCCTGTAAACGGTGTTATCCGCTCTGGCAATAGAGTGTAACCTCCAGACTGCAGACTCACTGCTGTAAACTCTCCAGATGAGATGATCCTTGACCTTGGCGCCAACGTTATCATTACCTCACTACCTTTTTTAAGCCCTCCAGATACTCGGTTCTTCCCTTCACCCTCCTTTTTTCCCATTTCAGTCCTCCCTCCTAGCCAGACCCTCCCTTCCGATAGTACGTGCGCTCTTTTGTTCACCATCTGTTGCAGCACGGAGGCCCGCTTCAGCCAACCTGCCCTCATGCCGTTAACCAGAACCCACATTCAATCTGTGACTTTTATTCCAGCACCAAGAGTTGTTTTTATTTTCCTGGTTTAGCGAAATGTCTCAACGACCAGTTATTGCTATGAAATTAAGTACAAAGATTTATGAATTCCCTCGAGATGCATTGTGATACTGTAACTTTTAATCTTGACCTTTAATCAGGTCAAAACTCTTACATGTGCATCAATTTGGACTCAATCTTGCGGCTCCAGTGCCTTGTTCTGACGTCGATTTAGCCTCTGGGGCCACGGCCAACGCATTTGGCGTTCTTCTGCAGTTTATCACATACTAAACAATATTATTTTTTTACTTTATTAATATAATAAATTATACATGTCGCTGTCATTTCAAAGATCAAAGTCCTAAAATAAAAGAGTCAGAGCGTATATATAATTTTTAATAAATACTAATATTCACCACAAAGACTCAAGAGTGCGATCAATCTTCTCGTGTAACATTCGGTAAGAAAGAAAACACAAAGATCCCAGAATGGATCTCTTTTGAAGCAGATACAGCAAACTGTTGCAATCTTTGTCTAACAAACGTCATGAAGCTGTAACCCATCTTCTTCCCCCGTGTCCTCCTCTGGCTCCAACACCAATCTTACTCCCTGCCCGCTCATAACCTTCATCGTTTCTCCTCTTCTCCACCTTCTTCTTCTCCCCCTGGCTTTATAACGTTTTCCTGTTATCACCTCTCATGTCCCTTCCTTTCTCTCGTTCCTTTGACCCTTTCCACCTCCTCCACCTGCCCCATCATTACTCCTCTTTCAACGCTCATCTTTCTGAGGCTGCCAAATTCCCCCAGCACAACAGTGCTATTCTGCTGCCTACTAATAGAATCTCTCAGTTCCTTTAATGGATCTGTCAGAATCTCACTCAGCACGGCAGACCAGATAGATTGATAGGGGGAGAAGGGAGAGAGACATTGAAAGAGAGGGACAAAGAGGACAGCGAGACGCAGGAGGAGAGAAGCCCAGAAAAAAAAAAAAGGAAAAAAGGAGGAGAGTCACGCTGGGGCTCTCAACACTTTCATCTGCGCCATTGAAAGTCTCAGAGCAGCAGATCCACTCATGCAGGCAACCAGCGACCATATGTTCCATTAGAAGCGCTGCCCCCCCCGAAGGCCATCGCATTGTGACCGCGGGATAATGTCACTTTCACCGGGAGTCCGTACTAAGAAGGAACTGTGCTTTGTTGTTTTTTTTACATTTGCTGCAGTATTTCTGCCTTGATACTCGTCACACACGAGGGATTCTTTAGAATAGATCCGTTCAGCGAGAACGGATCTATGAAGCTTTGTTAGCTGCCACATAAAATCAGAATACAGTAACACCCTTGAAATGAACTGAACACCTTAAATAGTTTATTTAAGATGTAACTAAGGTAGACTAAGCCGTTTGGTGTTACACATTTAAATGAAAAAGTGAAGGACAAACTTTAATTTTCTGTTAAAGCTTCTATGTCCTCATTCAATTGTTGAAAAACAGACCTTGAAGAAACAAGCAGTAATATTTTTTTTTTGGTTGTTTCCTTGGAAATAATGATTTAACCACATCGTATTCTGTTTCCAACCTCGTCTTTATACGGTGGGGTCCCTGTACTCACCGTTATCGGTGGCAATGAAGACAGCTGTGTATTTGTTGTCGTGGACATACGGAGACTCGCGGTCCAGGGAGCCCGAGGTGTTGACGGTTCCTGTGACTGGGCTCACACTCAGCCAGCCAGCCGGGTCTCGCAGAACAGCGTACCTGCAAGAACGTTGATAACGAAAAGTTGTAAATGGACTTGTGATTGTATAGTGCCTTTCTAGTCCTACAGCCACTGTAAGTGCTTTCAAACTAGCTGCCACTCATCTATTCACACTCATTCAGACCCTGATGGCAGGGGCCACTATTCATGATACCACCTGCTGTCAGGACTCATCGTTCACACCCATTCATACGCCGTAGGGAAAGCTACGGGAAGTTGTGACCATACGAGCACCAGTGATGTATTTATTATTATAATACGGGGGTGTACATTATTGAGCGATAATGTACAGTTGCTGTTCACATTGAACTGAGCGTTTTATATCACTGCGCACTCAAAGTAGCAGGTTAGATTTTGCGCGACCGTTAATTGACATTTTCTTCTTTAGCTCTTTGGCTCGATGGCGGAAATCCCACAAATGATCGGTTTCGGGCAATGCGAGCTTTCGCAACCGGACAATTAAGGTGGCCGTCATGAGCGATGTAAATGAATGAGGTGGTGTGAGACCCGATGCTGTTTACAGCAACTACACAACGGTTGGTGGCTAAAACTATTTTCTGCTGAAAGGCAGCTATTTACTTACTATTTATACTTTCGCTTTATCTTCAATAATGTAACTGAGGGTTGCCGGTCGGTGTGCGTCTGGCCTAACTACACAACCGAACTGTTGCAGTACATTACTGGACGATAAAGTACTGCCTCTCGTACCTTATTGCTTTAATAAAAAAGACAGCATGTGAAATCAGGTGATAAATGCTTATGCTCAGGAAAAAGAATTATAAGAAACAATTGTAAGTAAACATTTGTTTTGTTATGTTTGACCCAAATCTGTCAGATCCTGGAGAAACGAGAGCAGCTAACAAATACATGAAAAAAGTAAGACAAATCCAGATATGTTTCCTTAATTTGAGTATAACAGGCAGGCTTGTTTTTAGCTGCTCTGAGAAACAATTTACCATGGACATCGAAGATGGGACCGTTTCATATATTTTCACAAACAAGTAGCTTCTGTGTTTCTTTGGCAGATACAAACATACATAGTGTGTTTCACTGGTGTTGCGCGAACACAACTTCACATTCAGAGCAAGACTCGTGTGCCCATGACGTTACATGTCATGTTCATAGCGAGGTTATGGGTATTAGACAAGTGGCGGTTATGATTGGGTTGAGGGCTTGCAGGAAATGAATGTCATTGAGTGTAATGTGTGTGTGTGTGTGTGTGTGCCTGTTCACTGTTCTGGAGGAAAAGGATTGGTTAAAATAAAGGATTTAATTTAAATCTCTATTTGTTGTGAACATCTTATACGCGGCCAGAATAGGTAACAGTATGCAGAGGAAGCTCATACTGTTAATGCCTGAAAACTAAATCGGAGCTAAATCGGAGCTAAAAGTTGATAAAACAAACACTCACAGGCACACACAAAACCACAGAGTTTCTCCGCTTTGCCAAAGCGCTCAGCGGTAGACAAATTGTCTTTGAAATGGAGCTCTTCAGCTAACAGAGCGCAACAAAGCCTTGGGAAATAGCTTTGCAATCAGCCTCTTCTCACACCTTCCCCCCTTCTCCCTCTTACTCACACACACTTTCCCTGCCAGTTATAACTAACCAACACAGATGTATTGTAACACAAAAAAAGGCAGTTTTTCCTGATGTGCTATTAATAATGCCACATATTCCATTGTACGTGCGCTTTCCTACACCCGCACACAAATACAAAAACGATCTACCACATGATTTATAAGCCCGGCTACTCCAATAAAACAGAGCCAGGCTCACATGTTATTGACCTCCATGTTTCTCTCCTCCCATCACCGGCTTTAATGGCAGACAGACATTGTGTTACTTCCCACATTGTGACACAGAGACACGCAGACACAAATGAATGCATGCAAAATATACATAATGTATATATTTACACTCTGAAGCACAAAAGCTGCGAATGTCCTGCAGAGACGTATTGTCTCCCATCGCTGGCAGCCAAACACAACAGAGCTGTGACGACTGTTAAATAACAGGCCATGACACTTCTTCCTTAAGTTGAAGATGCAAAGAAGTGTAATGCTTCTGTCTGCTTTAGTGTAGGCTCAAGGGTAACCGCTAAATGAGTTGGATCCACTGTTCCTCCCCCATGTGCAAACATGGGGACAGGTCATTAGAGCCCTTTATGGGGCAAATTAGAAAGACCTTAAAAATCCATTAGGAATATTCATCTGGTTATACGTTGTTATCTCCAAAACCAGAGAGGGCTCAAACACATCAGTCAACAAATGAGACAGTGCCCAAACACAATGGTCACACATGTCCTCCTTTAGCTGCAAATACACACGTTCAAAAAGGTAGAACACACAACGGGGAGCTGAATTCCGTTGTAGTGTAGCACTGTTTGTTTGCAGTGTGGAATAATTCTCAAGGCAGAAGAAGAAGGATTTGTCCAGATGTTTTTTGCTTGAGTGGCAGCGAAAGCCGTCTCTTGAGGCACCCACAGTGCCCTCCATGCTGGTCTTCCCCCGGTCTGCAGAGCCGTACCCTGAGGGACCACTGTGGCTATTGTTGGTATCAGAGGGCAGTCAGGGCCCGTGTGTGTGTGTGTGTGTGTGTGTGTGTGCAGCACAGGTTGCACTTAGCTGTAAGAGGACACAGAGGAGCTTGAACAGAGCTGGCATGAGTCTAGTCGCATCTGTCTCAGGTTCAGCTGTCTCATTAGAAGTGATCCAGAGCCAAAAACATAATACAATACCAACCTACGAGGGTCAATTATTTTACACCAGCCTCTGAGAAGCAATTCACCGTTTCTTTAAAAGAACCGATTGGCTAAAATTGTGGGTTAGATTCCAATTATCATTTGATTGTTTAAATACTAGGATCCAGAAAAATGTGTGCACTGACGTTTTGTCAAGCAGTAAAAAAAACAGGCTGAATATCAATTTGCCGGCTTTAAATAAGGTAACAAAAACGACAAAACTCTGTAAAGCAAATGCTTCAACACGATGGCACAAAACTGTGCATGATGAAAACTCAAAGGAATGTCTCAGCCGATATGTATCGAGCATGCAAGTCATTGCTTTCTATATGAGAACAGAGCTTCCCCGTTGCTCTTGTGGGTGTGTTAAGACAGACAAGCTCTTTCTCACTCTGATCTGAGCCTCGTTCCTCAGTTTTCTCAGACAACTCAAAGGGGATTTGGTAGCAAGAGAGAGAGAAAGAGGCTCTCCGCTCACTCATAATCCCATTACGTCAGGAGCAAAGTGCTTGCATTCATTGTGCTCATCTGTGTGTTTTTGTGGCAAAAGCAGGTGCGGCGGTACACTGAATAAGTAACAGACAAGTCAAGCTAATTTAGTAAGAAGATAGAAAGGGAGAAGTGAGCACAAATAAATTTATGGCTCTTGTGTTATTTCTCTGAAGTAAGATCTGTAGCTTGCACGACTTCTAAGAGCTGATGCATTTATGTAGCTCCGTGGTTCATCTTTCTAATGCACATAGTTAATGCTGTTAATCCAACATACCTAATATTGATGAAGGATCAATTTCAGGAATACTGAAATTGGGTTGAAAAATGTACTATCTACATCGGAAATCACACTTTTCTTATATGAAAATGTTGACCATTGAAGTGCTTTTTAATTTGGTTTAATTGATTCCTATCTTGAAGTCGCCTCCAGCTTTTTAGGACGCTGACGATATGATCAAACCTGTGTGATTGACTACGATACTAAACCGACCAAAATGTTTGCGTAAATGTGATCTCAAAAGGGTAGTTTAAAATACACGTGTATTCTTGTATAAATATACAGTATATTCATACAATATCAAAGCAATATGGATTGATTATTATTTATTGCAACGTTACTTTGGATCGTCTTTTAAACCATTTTCCAACCATCAGATGATGAAGCTCACTACCAACAACCCTGTGTCGGGTTACTCAGGCGTCACTTTGCATTCAAAGGGCCGCGCGTTGTTGGGGAGTACGCAGTGAATACAAGTAGGGGCACCGGAGAGGTCGAAATCCAGACCCCCGTTCGGCAGATTGCAGAGCTCAGCAGTAAGGAAGAGATGATGAGGCAGAATGAGACGACGCTCAAACACAACCGACGCAGTAGTGAGATTCCCAGGTCTTTCTATCGAGGTTGAAAGCATGATTTATCCAAATTGAATATGTATGTGTCTGTCGGGGTGCACAAAGAGAGAAGACTGGAATGACCCTCTGCTATATTAATTCACTACAAAAGCAGACTATTCTGTCTGTTTCCTATGAAACTATTATAAAATACCAGACCCTCTTTTGAGTGTGTGTGTGCGTGTGTGTTTCAGTACCACATAAAAGCTTAGTCTTCCTATTTCAAGTGTCTGTGTTTTCAGCGCTTACAGATTTCTGCAGTGCACTGCAACTTACGCAAGTGCATACTCACAAACTTGACGGCAATGGCAGCATATTCTAGAAAAACCTATTAAGCACTTTTCTCTTCCTCTAATTTCTCCAATTTCCTCTCGTCTTCAGCCCCCACCCTCTTGGGGCTTTTACATTATCATCACATCTTTAAATGTCCCTCTATCACTTTATTTTTCTCTCTCCTGTCCGCAGGAACTCCCTGTGATTGAAGTCTAACCTACAGAGAGGAAGGATGCTCACGGTGTGTTTCTATCTGAGAGCTCCTAAGTGAGTGTGAGCAGCCGATAGGAGAACAATTGAACTAAAAGGACTAAAGGTGCAGGAGGTTGCGCCCAATTGTGTCTGGCCGTAACAAACGTACAACTCATCCAAATCCACAGCTGGTGAAGCGAGAGCAGGAGGGAAGAGAGAGCAAGATGAGAAAAGGGATCGAGAATGGAGATATGACAGGGACACATGACGACTGGGACTGTGTAATAAATGTGGAATGCCAATGAATTATCCCCTCGTTCGTCAGAGTTCTGTGCGGGTCCAGTTTTGCAAAGCCAACATGCGTCAATGCCAACGTCAACTGGCCGAACCCAATGATTCCTGCGTCTATTTAGGACGTGACTTGTACACATTTAAATAAGTCAATCAGTCTAAACTGTGATAGGGTGGCACAGTTAATAGAGAAGGTAAATACAGTAGGTAGATATTTAAATCTGAAGAAAAAAGAAGTATTGATGTTTAAAATGGACTGTGTGCATTTAGTTCACTGCTCATTGGGTTAGTTGATTCCACAGCTACTTGTACGTGAAAGATGTCACTCGTAGAGACAAACCTACAGGACGTTTTGCCGTGACTCTTTTTGGGCCGACAACATTTAGTTTGGTCTCACTGTTACAGCGAGCAGTGTAAAAGCTGACTTAACGTCACCAGGCCTGCTTCCAGTGGGAGACAGACAGTGAGCGCTGCTATAATCAACCAAGTCAAGCATTTACTTTAGTTGCCAAATATTTCCCTCGGCAGTTGGTGGGGACTAAAACCCGAGCTTAAAGAGGACTCACCACTGTCAGCAACATGATTCCAAATTACTGCTGTTGTTTTATGAGCTAAAGCGACATCTCCAAACATCATATTGAGATTTAAGTATCAATATAATTGCTGTCTATTAATAAAATGGTGAAGATAAACATACAAATGCTCTTTGGTTTATTTCCCCTGCAGACCTTCCCTTAAAGTACCATGAACCTGAAGTTACCACATTCATTGCAAGAATCTGGAGCCAGTTATTGGCATAAGACCTGGACCAGAACTCCCACTTCCAAGATAGGAACAGAAGCAACCTCTGCCGTTCACTCTGAACACGTCATTGAGCTAAAGTGACGTATTAACTGTAATATAACAGGTCAAAACCATTTGTGTTGCTTTTAGGCAGTGACAAAACTTGGAGGGTGCATTGAAATTTCGGCGAAAAAGTGTAATTTACAGAGGAAGGAAAAGATAGACAACAATTGGCTTTGAAGCCTTTGTGGTTGAAAAATAAAAGGACTCCTTTTGTCTCGGTCAGCCGCTCCGGGCTGGATTTCAACTTGAGCTGTACTGAGCGGAGCTGAGGTGCCCAGTTGCTGCTGCAGGCCATGTGGACAAATTACCCACGTCACACCTCTTCATTTCTCCGCTCTGTATCAGCGCCGTGCAGCGGCTCCATACATAAGCGCAAAGCAAACCTTGCCGCCTGTTGCATCAATCACCTGTCACAGAGATTCAGTCAGGGTGTGTCTTTTACGTGTCAGCGCGGAAAGTACGTGAACTTGCATAAAAAGGTGTAAACGGAGGTGTGAAGCGCCAGGTGGAGTTTTACTTCAGGTATCCACAGTAGTGGATGCACATATGCGTTTATTACAAGAAGGCCGAGGGGTTTAATTGGCAATCACGGCAGACTTTCAGAGCATGTTTTCACTAGATGTGGGGGGGGGGAAGCTCTTGCTGTCCATCTTCATCCTTACATGCATAAAATGTCAAGCCATCCCCTTAACTTGTGAGTAGACGGGGAGCGGGTTAGATGAACACATTAAACTACACCGCTCGCCAACAACCCCGGTTATAGATTAGTTACGCACAAAGCAACAGGCGGATCAGGCCGTCGCGTGTGTGAATTAAAAGAGAGAAAAGTAGAAAGAGAGACACTGAGCGATGGAGAGAAAGTCCTTGATGTTACGTGACATCTTTTATTATATTCTTTACATTCTGATCTCCTCTTTTTCCGAAGAGGGCCGTCCCTTTGCTTTGTCTCACTCCACGGTCCTGGCTCCAATCAGGCTTGAGAGAGTGTGACCAAAAACGCGCTGTGCGCGTTGATTTACCTTTTTCGCAAAACCTCAAAGGCTCCCTTTGTTCGTTCCGCTCACTGTTTTCTCCGGGCCAGCTAGAGTCTCAGAGGAGGCCCTCTACCAACAGCATGCGGTCCGCCGAGTGTGCTGAAGCCGCTCATGTCTACTTAGCGGCATCAGCGGAGCTCTCAGACGAGGACGAAAGGTTTGCATTATCAATATTTGGTTAGGGGCAAAGAAGGGTATACAAAGACGTTAATTTGAAACACGAGGGAGAAGGCGCGGGAGTGTGTGTGAGCGCACAAGTGGGCTCTCCTCACTGGGTGCAACATCATTTTCATAAATTTGCAAACCGCTTCACAGCACAGCATCACTCTGCCTGTTCCTCTCGGCATATTTTGGGGATTGTTTTAATTATTTCCTGGCATTCTGACGTTACAACTAAAGCCTGTGCCCCTCTCCTTCCTCCTGCACCACGTGCCTGGCAAGCCTTTACCCAGCTGCTATGAATAAGAAAAAAAATCAGATTAGCCTGCAATCAGCCATTCCGCATCTGTGAGGGACAGACGAAAGCGAAGGGAGGGAATAGAGGAGACTAAGACCACGCCTGTTTCGCTCTGCAGAGGGACACTAGAGGAAAACCCCACAATTCAAACCCTTGAAACTCTTTGTGAGCACCCCGTCTGACCCCTCGCAGGTCAGCCTTTGTAGCATCCGACAACTCTCGCCGTCATACTTTATGTGGTATGAGGAGACGTTGTGCCAAGACATTTCATTTGGGTGAATCCGATCACATCTTGAGGATTTGAATTTAACTGTTTTCCACAATTTTAATTGAAAAATCGCATCTCGGCAGAACTTGTGCATCGTAGTGTGTCTTTTTTTAAAATAAAATTTTATTGAGTTTAATCACCCTTTCTCAAGCCCCAACTGGTAAATCCCCCCCCTCTCTCCCCATTAACACTGTCTGAATGGGGCCTGATTTTTCTTTGGGTAGAACTACTGTCCAGAAATGTTGCACATTTGCCAAAGATTAAATTGAATTATTATAAATCACAGAAGGACCCCAGGTAACAAAAGTTATTTGCAAATATGTATAAGCTGCCGAGTCTAATGCAAATCTTTCATGTGTTGATTTGCTCAAATTCAGCAGATGTATCTTCACATGCGTTGTGTAAAGTGGAGAATAAACACGAGCGGGCTTGTTTATTATACATGCATTAATCTCAAATAGTCCTCACAAATACACAAGAATGCATGTGTGTGTGTGTGTGTGTGTTGGGTTCGGTGTGCTGCTCACTCTGGCAACAGAGTCGCAGCGATCGTGTTTCATGTCAAATGCATTTGACATATGCATCCCAGAGGGCACAAACCCCCCCCCCCCCTTCATACACACACACACGCACGCACGCAGAGACGGACAGGGTGGGAAAGGTGACGGTAAACAGATCTCCTCCTATTCCTTTTCATACCGTGCACCCTGTCTCCCTATTTCCACATCTCCAACCGTCCGCCTTCCCAATGTCGTCAACCTATCCGTGGCTCACAGTTATGAGGCTTCAAAGTCACTGGTGCTGGCAAAATGTCACAGGATGACATAACTACAAACACGGAGGACATGAAATAAATACAGAAAGGTTTGCTGAAGATGAGAAAACCACTTACAAACATAGACGGTCCTTTTCTGAGCGAGCAATGGGAATTTATTATTTTTATGTCATGGCAACATACTTATTATATATGTTGTAGTATAATAGTATTATTCACAGTTGATGTGGTAAATGTGTCACTTAAGAAAGGCAGAAAAGATCCAGACTGAATGCAGTAAGAAAAGTGAAATATACAAAATATCTTTCTAAATACATAAAACACTCTCTATCTTTCTAATTTAAGTGGTATCTATTCAGAACGAAGCCACAAAGCACTAATGATCTAAGATCTCTTAAACCTCTGTGGCGTGGTTCTATCTGTTATCTATGTCTATATACTAAGGCTTTCATCTCTGCTTACTTTTGATGAACAGACGTTGTTTGGATTTTAAATCCAGGGTTTGTGTTTGGAATTCAATCCGTCATGTGAGCTGACCGGTGGTCTCAGACCCCCCGCTTGTCACATCTTTGAGGGCACAGCTGCAGACGCCGCAGACTGCAGATACCTGCAGCATCTCCAGGTTATGTAGCATTATGTAGCATTTGACAGGGACACAATGGCTGGGTCCTCACAGGAAGCGGCGTCAGTTATTTCAGCATTAAAGCCACAATGTGGTGAGTTTTATTTCCCCCGGGTCATTATTTGGCCAATGTATTTACTTTCAATGATACATATCTCCAAGGATGGAGAAAGGGAGCCATCTAAATCGAGAACAAATTAGGCCTGAAATCCAATAAATGCAATGATGAGTTTTCCCATCTTGTAAAAGAAAGTGGGGCTTCCTCTCGCAGCAAGATGAATGCGCTCTATTGTAGAACATAGTGAAACTAATAGCCATCCTGTTATGAAGACGGCAATATTTGAGTGAAGGGCATTTTCTGTAACATAGTTAAAGTTAATGAGTGGTCCCGTTCTGTGACTTTCCAGTTGACTGGAGGCGATGGTTCAGACCTGTGCCAGTAAATTGCAAATTGCACTGGCAAAAGCACAGACGGATAAAGCAGCCTAGCGGGCGAAGGAAAAAAGCGTGTACACAGGGACAAAGGAGATCGGATTGAGTGGCATTAAATATCTAAAAGCTCCCTGACATGAGAGAACATTAAGTGCTTCTCAAAGAGTCCCATTAGCAGACAAGACTAAATTATGTTTCTAATCTGAGAGGAGAGAAACTTGGGAAGCTCATTACTGACAATAGTGAGCTAACGCAGAGTTATAATAGCCATATATCTATATATAATGTTTCAGTTATTCTGGATTCCATAATGTCTTTAGTACTGTTCTTTATTGCTTTAGTGTTTTGTGTAGTTTGAATTAAAACATGTTGATTGTGTCTCTTTGCACTGCATCCTTCACTATTGTAACTCCTCGTGACCTCCATGGATTTCTACCACATGCTTACCTGATGCTCTGGATCTGTAGAATATCTGGATCTGTGGTGTTAAGTGAGGCCACGAAGCTGCCTATAGGAATGTTTTCCATCCTGCTGACTATCAGCGGGTCGGGGAAGAAGACCGGGCCCTCGTTGACGTCCAGGACCGCGATGTGAACGGTGGCCGTGGAGCTGGGGCCATACCCGACATCGGGAACCAGAGCGTCCTCGTTCTCCACTTTGATGAGTAACGTGTGGGGCGCTTTGGCCTCGTAGTCCAAAGGCTGAGGAAAAAGGGAGTGTAGGGGAAGGGTGATGACGTTACAGACTGCGGCATATGAATGCGTTGCATAGTTTGACGTTCTTTACCTTGGAGATGGACAGCATTCCCTCGTTATTGTCCGGGTTGGTTTGGATCTTAAAGCTCAGCGTGGGATCTCCTTTGATTATAGAGTAGATCGCCCTCCACGCCCCCGTGTCTGGGTCGTCCCTGTCGTCCACTGTCAGGTTGACCACCACTCCACTGGAGCCCTCGAACACGTGCGCCTCAAACTGTTAGAGGAGACAAACAGACGGATCCCCGTTAGCGGGCAGGATGAACTGAGGAACTGAGGAAATAGAACAATCTTCTTTGCCAGAGTGTTCATTTAAGGTACCCTATGGAGTTCATGACTACTCATTTTGCAGTGGTTTGCATTTTGCACAGACTATTTCTGGTGGTTTCTTGCTTTTCTCATTGGTGTCAGAAATGCATGAAGAAGCGTTGAAATGCGGCAACAGAGACAAGAAAAAAAGAAGGCTGCAAGGAACAAAACTACGTATCGTCAACTATGCAGGATAGAGTAATTCTCAACAATTGGCCTCGAAGAGGTTTATGAGGATGGAAATGTACTCAACATTTGTTAAACTGCAAGCATAAACTCGTTGCATTTTTGTGGCAAACACTGATGCAAACCGATTTTGTGCACCTTTTTAAAATGTTATTCCCTTTTGAAAAAAAACCCTGGTGTTTTAAGGGAGAGGACTGTACTGTCAAGCTTCTGTCTTCATTGAGTTTTCTCACTTTGTGTCCATCCTTTGGTTTTTGTCTTACTATTGCAGCTGCAAAATGAAAAATCTGTTTATATACTCTTAAAAAACTTAAAAAAGGGAATTAAATTATGAACATAAACAAAAAAGAAATGAAGTAGAATGAATGCAATGTCCCATCATCTGGAGCCGAGTCTAAGAAAGTAGCTTTTTTTTTGTTTAAATGAAGCTTAGGTGAAAATTCAGTCAGGAAGACTGGACAGGCTGTGCCGTTCCCTGGTGGCCTCCTCTCTCCCTGGGGGCGCACAGCCAGCTGATTAGGGGCGGGGTCGGGTAGTATCAGACGTGGGTGTCGTTACCGTAAACCAATCGCCTTGGTGCAGGCAAACGTTAAAAACTTTCCTGCGGCATGATGGAGTCCAAGCCCCATCAAAAAACAAACAAACTCTCCAGATTGAAATGCATGCAAAAAAAGCACACAAGCATCAGAATACACACTTGTTGTGGATTTTCCACACTGCATCTCATCTATCTTTCAGTGTCAATCACTCCTCACCTCTCTGATCATTGTTGGCAGCGAGCCTCAATCAAATTCCCAATCGATGCATCCTGCCAGCAAGGATTTCACTGAAGACCACATCCTGAACAGGGGTACCCCTGCAGAAGCTGCAGGCACAAGCTACGCTCTGACTGGCTATGTGTGTGTGTGCGTGTCAGGACCATTATGGTGTCAGAGTTTACAGTGTAATATTTCAGACACAGAACACTCTGTTTAAGGGTAGTGCTGGTCCAGCTTAGATTATTGCGTCTCCTGTCAGCCCCCGGTATTGTTGTTTCACAGATTACCCTTTTACTGCCTTACACCGCCTGGCTCCGTGCATTTATCTTAAAAGACAGAAACATTGATTGACCTCTTCGCTTTCTTTTCTTCCTTTCTTATTCATTCAAAGCTCGTTTATAAAAAAAAAAAACATGGAACCATTGAACACTCATTTAGGAGGCACACAATGTTCGTACAAGGGGATGTTTGTACCCACATGGGCATCGTTGGCCTTTTTTGTCCTGCGAGCCCGAGGCGGACTGGCACAAAGGCACCATGTGAAAATTAGGAGGCTGTTGGAAACGTTAAAAAAAAGCCCCCTGCTCATTGTGAAACAAGTGGGATGTACTAGAATTAAAATCTAACAGCCATCGCCTTAGATTAAGCAAAGAACCCTGAAGTGGTAAGAGACATTTACATGCCGCCACTGCTTGTACTCAAAGACACATGTATCGGGATCAGAGACAAATGCACGTCATCGCTAGTCGTCCCCTTCTGCACATCAGAAGAGCAACAGCATTTGCAAGCTCTATATATATATTTATATAGCCCAGACACACAGACATCAGCCACTTAGATTGGGTTTAATCATGTGGGGCAGTCATGCCGTTGGAGGAAACGTGTATTGCGTGGGATGTGGCCACCAGGCTCCTGCCCAGCTGCTGATGAGGCCTCAACCCCACCTGGAGCACAAAGCAGCCAGCAACCTAGAAGACTTGAAGGAAATGAGGCGGAGCGTCGAGTCCGGACTGACGTAAACGCTTTATGACCGAGATGGCTGAGGATGGGAAGAAAAAGGGTCTGCCTTAAAGTCTGATTTAATCCGTTAGTAAGTCAGTTACTAAAGTGTTTCCTGCTGAGTTCACTTTGATTAAGATGATGACCGGAGGACCAAGAGTGAAACGAACACTTCACAGGACCATACAATTACTGACACATATTTAGAACAGCGGTTCCCAAACTCAAGAATGCCGCAGCCCAATTTAAAATCTGAAAATCTTTTGCGGCCCACCCGAACCTTTAATCACAACTCTGATCAAAACATAAACTAGGGATGATTAAATGACCTTAAGAATTTAACGGATTCAAAATGTATTAACCGACAATGTATGTTTTGTATGCCATATATATTTACTTTAATACTACTACTACTAAGAGGGCGCCCCATTTTTACATTTTACATATTTTTATATTAATTTCAAACTTTTCAAAATTTAAAATTTAAAACATTTTATTTATTTATTGTAAATGACCTCTCGCGGCCCACCTGTAGGCCCACACTTTGGGAATCGCTGATTTAGAGAATTACCCTAAAACTGACAATAACCACCACTTGGCTAATCCTGAACTTTGCCCTTGACCTTTAACCAAGTTCTCCCCTCCTGAGGTTACGGAGACGTGTCTGTCACGGTGTGGTTTTATTTCCTGCCTTATTTTTTAGTTTCTGCTTCTTGTCTATGATCCTGGATGTTCCTCGTTCCTGCCCGCCTTTTGCCCCGGTTCCTGTGTGCGTTTTTGCCCGTTGGCCTTTTGCTTTTTGAAAACCATCCCTGACAGAAGGTCGCAAACTTCTGTCAGGGATGCGGGGAAAGGCAGGACTCACACACAGACTTTTAACCACCATAGACAAGAAGCAGAAACTACAAAATAAGGCAGGAAATAAAACCACACCGTGACAGTGTCCCCAAAAGACTGGCGAGTCCCCACAATGTGAGCCCAAAGCTCAAGTAATAAGTACCTCCCACAGACACCCACACAAAGGTGTAAGTAGACTAATTGTAGATGAAATAATGAACACCGAACACACACATCAATGCATGCCGATTACTGTGAGGTAAACATAAGCATACAGACGGACAGACACAGAGACGCTGTGCATAGAGACACAGATTGATGCAGAGTTGACTGAGGGCATATATCACAGTGTCTCACACTTTGACATTTTGGATTTCAAGAAGTAAAAACTAGCGTTGCATTGATTTTCTGCTTCCCGTCTCTTTAATAGCTGACTTTCTCCATTCTCCCATAGATCTTCAGGGTAATGCCATCCTGCCAAAAGATAACAATTTGATGCAGGGGAGCTTAAGAGAAAAAAGATAAATGAATGGATAATGGATAAAGTTACTCCCATGATTTTCAAAGCTGTCATTCTGATGACGCTTGTAAATGACCACTAGCAGTGTTCTTTCATTTTGATGATCCTTTTCCTACTTAGATTTTATGTGACTTTTATTTTGACATCATGTTATCCGCTCACGTGATTAATCGCCCGCGCTCGTGCTCACATCTGTTTAATAGAAGACACGAGAAGCTAGCTAGCAACTTAATACATTAAGCTAATGGCGGCGGACTTCCCTGGATTACCACTTTATAGCACCCTTTGATATGCGGAGCGAGGTATGTGGTTCATTTGTAATTGTATTTCATGAAAATTCATTTTATATAATGACTGTTGCCTGCTATGCTGTTATTCATGTATGCTAAAGTGCATTTGTCAAAGGATTATTTTGTATCTGGCTAAATTGCCTTTGTTATTTCCCTTTTTAGTTTTCACGGTGTTGATGTTGGTGTTGGTGCTATGCACACTCATCTGAATTAAAGTACACCCGTCTGGAAACACTCCCAAGCCTGTTTATTCCAAGTTGAAGGGATGCTACAGTGAAAACTCGACCATGATGTGGAGTGAAAATTCAACTCAACGTTAGAAGGATTGCCGTCCGCCATTTGTGTACAAGACTGCCACCTGCTGTTCAAACGCCCTCACTTCAACCGGCACCCAGGCAAGATCGGTCCTCTTTGTTTGCTGATTGCTGCATTCAACCACAGGGACTCTTTGATTACGAACAGTGATGTTTGTGTGGGGGACTGAAGTCACCTTTTATGAACAATGTACTGCATATTTGATGCTCTAAGCTAATCGTACATTTGAAAGGTGCATTTAAAGATACAGAAAGGCAACTTTAGAAAACACTATTGAATAACTATTGAACAAATCGAACCTGTTAAATGTAAATTCTTTCATGGGTAAATCTGTATGATAGCATTCTTTGCTAAGCTGTTTGTGTGTTAGCCTACATTTTCTGTTGATGATAATCGCCCCAGTGCATGTTTGATATTAAGTACTTGAGCTATTAGTCTATTTCAGTAATTGAACTGTAGTGTAGTAGTTCAAGATAACCAAACCGCAACACAACTTCAACAAAAATGTCACTTAATGGAGAGGAGGTAGCTAGCACACATGATCCACCGATGAAAACGGATAACCCAAAGCCAGTCAGGTCTAGTTCACGTGAAAGAACGTTTACAGAAAGGGGATTAGAAATGCACAAGCAGGAAGCCATTAAACACAAGAAAGAATTCATGAAAGCTTATGGCCACTGGAAAGAAGTTGCAGGAGAGATTAGGACCGCACTAAAATCATTCTGTTCTCAAGATGAACTAAATAACATCAGAGAAGAAATCCAAAGTCGACACAGTGCAGTAAGTGAACGTTATGAGCCCATTCAGCGCAACCATGATGCCACACCAGACATTGTACCGAAAATGGATGCTTGTATAGCACTCACTGCAGAGATCAGCGAAATAATAGAGAAGCGGCTTGAAACTGTAGATGAGGTCTTCAATCCTGAACTTGAGAAACTACGAGTGAGGATGGCACTTAAGAAGGATGAGTATGGATCTATCTTCGGACACACAAAGACAG